AGAGAAAAAAAAACCTTATAAAGAAGTATTGATTGTGCTAAGCTTCGTTCCAACTCACTCCCTCCCTCACTCCTTCTCATTCTCTTCGCTATCTTTTCACGCAGTTTATAATTCGTTATTTCGTATGCTCGTTGCCTATACATGTTGCTGCGAGTTTTTAAAAATTGCAACGCTAAGTTATTGGTAAACATGATAAGACTATTTTTCAATCATGATTTTCGGTTTTTAAAATGTTTGCTAAAGCGGTAAAATTAAATTGAAAAAAGAAAGGATAAACGTAATCCCCTAACAATTGAAAATGGTCTTTCGACTATTGTTCCGAGAAGGAATTAAATAACAATGGCTATGAACTATTTATGTTAAGTATTTCAACTTATGCTAATGAATATTTCCTCGACTCGGAATTGTTCTATTAATTTCATTTAAATAAAAGGACTGATAATTCTCTTTTATTTTATTCTTAGTTTTATTGTGCAATGATATTCTAAAAATAATACAAAGTGCTATTGATCTGTCATTAAATTTCTCCGTAAATTTGTAACCTTACGTCATTATTATGTAATATTATATAATAAGAAAATGCAATCATAAGTATAATATCTATAAAGTATTTCATTGACATTCCCATGAGCGTGTAGCCCATGAACGGGAAATTTGGCCAACTTTCCACGCCATTCTTTCAACTCCGCTACTCGAATTCTTCTCCCCCCGGGTCTACATCTTCTGCAATCATGAACTGTAAATGAATGCTACGCCATTTCTATAACTACGGCCATTAAATAAGCAGAATTCGAATTCACACGTGCATCAATGCCCAAAAGGACACCTACACCTAGTCTCCTCTAGAAACTCGACGTCTAAACATCTAGACGCTGGACGGGTCGAATCGTATTTAAAATCCAAGAAAACTCAACTTTTCATCGAAAAGCTCTCGGGCAAATGAATTAAAAGAAGGGACACAACGTACACCACTACACGCAAGTGTCACGTATACTTCGGGGCGCACGTGCAGTCACGTAGTAGCAGTAACGCGAAAGAAAACGAGACGGTCGAAGTACAGCATCCGCTCGCACCAATTCCCGGCAAAGGACGTGCGTAAACAGGAGACGAAACAGGACGAGATACCGTATGCGAGCAGGGTGATATCTTTTTAATGAGGTGCTTTGGCGAGAGAGGAGAGATTCGGAGTCACCAACGTAAAAGTCGTTGGAGTTAAGAGGCCCAGAAGGTTACGTACCTACTCGTACGAGGGCCAAGTTACGGCATATTTCGGAATCGTATTACGTCACTGCCGATAAACGACATGACTGTGCTCGCTTAATAGTAAATAGAACTTTTTTCTCTCTGACGTCCGCTCACTCAGTCAGAGCTTTCAGAGCAACAAAGCTTACTTGGCTTAACAAATTGTCCCGCTTTTTATCTATTCTGGAATGGCGAAAGTGGAAAAACTTTTCACCGACGCTCGTTTACATTATACACATTTTATAATTTCTCCCACATAGGCAGCCTCGCATAAAATGCGTAATGGCCTTTTGTGCAGATGCATATAGCAGAGAATAAAAGTGTCCTTGGGGAACGAATTTTCTGATCACCATCGCATCCTTACGTGACCCGAACTATCTCTTATACCGCATGAAAAAGAAATGAATGCAAATGGTACATGTGATCGAGAATTGAGCAAATCTTTTTTGTGGATGCTCCACCGATCGCAAACAATATCACTCACGTACATGACAACGTTAATACACTCGTCCTCTTCATTCATAATCGTAATGAGCGATTTTGCAAAAGCTTTTTGATCATATCGACGCCATATCCATCATCCTGAGCTCCATAAAGTACTTACCTAACAATTGCCTAACAATGCTAAATACCATTCTGAAATTTAGACTTAATTGGATCAAGTTCATTAAGACCAAGAGACGAATTATTATATTTAGAATTTAAGCCAATACCGATATATCCTACCCCATGAAACTTTTCATTGTAACGAATAATTTACTCTACTTTATCATTTAGCCCCGTTTTTTATCCACTTATCAATAATAATCCTGTTAATATTGTAAAAGATGACTTCCGCCGTACTCACTAAGCATCAAAAAATATCACACGAGAAAATGGCGAATACTTTCGAACGACGCTTTCCTACGTGTTTAATGCAATATTTGTTCTTTATTATATCATTATACTATCATTGCTTTACAAAAGATTTAATGGCGATTAAAAGTGAGAAAAATAATGCAGTTACAGCAGGCTGTACGATTGCATCCAAAATCCCGTAAAAATAGAAATTCATAATGGTAGACGAAACTACAGTCTCGGTAAGGATGAAAGAATGTGCTTATAAAAATACACTGACATTCAGCGCGCAAAACCCGGGAGCTTAGTGCCAATATCGACGCTAAACGAGTTATCCAACAAATTTGCCATTATTTCATGATTTATAGAAGCTCAAGCTCCATTGAACAAGATCTGCGCGCATATAAAACGGCAGGCACGTTTCTGCCATTTTGCTCAAAACTTTCGTTATCTCTTATTAACCGAGTTATTGCGGCACCCCTTTGCTCCTGTATTCTCCGTCGAAACAAAAAAAAAAAAAAAAAAAAAAAAAGGAAGTCGAGAGAAAGAAACAAATTAAGAAAATAATAATGAATGAATAAATGGTGACGACGATGAAACGTATTGGCACAAAAGATAGAGACGATAAAAGTATCGTTATAATGTATGGCGGAAGGATAGATGAGCGGCTGATAAAACTGAAAAGTAATTATGTCGATTGAACGCGATGGCGAGGCCTGGATTCCGATTACTTCGTAGGAAAATCAAGGCCTGCTTAACGGTTAACCGAATAACGAGCCTAAATTCGCGGGACATTGGAGTACATAGATACGGGAATGGAAGGGATTGCTGGCGGTGACGAATTTTTATGGATGATGGGGGGAGGGGCGGAGGCAGAATAACGAAAAGACATTGTTTAATCACTAAATTGCCTTTTAATGTTTTTGCTTAAGCCCGAGAGAGTAGTACGCAATAGAAAGAAAGAAAGTAAGGCTCGCTTAAGCCATTACGACTATAGTGTTATTTTGCTTTTTGCGGACGTAAGGCGAGCGACAGAGACGCGAAGGTGGCGCCATCGAACGACGAAATTTTGTGAAAATGTCGGCCTCCTATGTCCTTATCTACTACTTTTTCTATTTAAATCTTTTCTTCCATCGGAAATTTTCACAATTCACTTATCTCGCATGCAAATTAATTTTGATGTTCAAGACAGTGCTGTGACCAATTTCATATATTTACGAATATGGCATTTTATATATTTATAAAAATTGCGCATCTCTGACGAAGAAATAATTCGCGAGAATATGTGCGATGTATTATTTATGAATACGAATGTCTAATCCGTTACACTCAAAGCGCATTAAAAAAAAATGTCAAAAACATTTTCTATTTTTCGATAACTATAATTGCTATAATTGTTTTAATGAATCTTGACAATATTTTAGATATTTGTTATGAAAGTTTAAAAAATTTCAATACAAACAGTTGGATTTCATTAGCTTTCGTGTTTATTAAGTACTTGCATTTTTACTATCTCTCTGAGCAGAAAAAATTTACGGTTCTCGATCAACGCCTATAATTACTCCGACACGCCGATCCTTCCGATTAACTACACTTTCAAATAAGTAAAACGTACAAAAAAAGAGTGCACGAGCGCATAAATCGAGCTATTGTTAGTAATATACATCATTTGGTCGTAACTATTCATACATTGTAAAGATAAAAATAAACTTACTTAAGTAATATCAGAAAACGTTTGTAAATTATTATTACGGTACAACTGTGTGTAAAACAGATAAACAAAACCAGCTGATACTACTCGATAGATTTAATATTTGATTTATACAAATACCCTAGGAATAAGTATAATTCATTCACTTGACTTACTATCCATTCGAAATTCTACATACTTCTGAACCTCTATATTTCATACTACGTCCATCATCAAGTGTAAATTCACTGATCCATCGGTCCGATTAGTCTATTAATATCTGCCAATCTTCGAGTTAGCCACTATGTTCACGATAATGCGTACTTGCAGAAACTACATTGAAGCTTACCTTCCCATATTTAGTTTTGCAAATAGTTACTTCCGTGAAGTTTTTCATCTATACGTATTGTCAATATCGTCCTGAAAAATTCTCTTTGAACCTATGTATATAATGCATTTAGATTTAGTGAGTTATTGTAGTGTAGGTAAGGTATACAAATTATTGTATTATATTATTATACACGTAAGTATCATTAGTTGTCAAAATTTTAAAATAGTCCAAGTAGGCTCGAAACAATTTCATAATTACTATTCTAAAATTATTCTCCAATAAATTATGAATTACGAATACGAATTAAAATGAAATATCGTATTATTAATCTGCAGAATTTTGGATGAATGTCGATGAAATTATTTTGATGGTTAATATTTTTAAAGAAAGTATTAATTAGACAATACAAGTAAGAGGCATTCGTTTGTTACAAATGGATTAATAAATAAATCATTTACTAACAAATAAACAAAAAAAAAAAAAAAAAAAAAAAAAAAAAAAAAAAAAAATTGATTCGATTGGATAGAAATGATCTATTTATATTGAAGATACTAATTTCTATTGTATAGCTTATGGTGTTGGATATTCGACATAACTTGATTGACATTAGTGAATTTCAAATCGTACAAAAAGTAAAAAAGAAAAAGAATATATATATATATATATATATATATATATATATATATATATAACCTTACAAATTTATTAAGTCTTTGCATTATAAAAATTGATTTAGTATAATTCTTACAGTTGCTTAAGTTTTAAGCATGTTAAAAAAATATAAAACTAGATGTCATTACTTAAAATCACAGACTCGATTACATCAATTACAAAACCATATTTACGCATTTAATACATTCACTAACATGCTAATAATAATAATAATAACAACAACACGATATTAGAAATACTTAATTATGACTGGAATTAAAGACTCGTATGGATATACTCAAGTGCTTGTTATAAGCTGTTCTTTGGGATACGTCTCTATTGCTATTACATTGTCCTTTACTTTTGAGTTGGGCCGTGTTGTTTTGACTCTTAATTGACTAGCTGCAAATGGCCACTAAAATTTCAATGACACAAGCATTTCATTGATTTGCTAACCGCACAAGAATTGAAATAATAAATGCCTCGAGCATACCTCCAAGCGATCAATGGTGCTAATCTCTCCGTGAACCTCTGATAATTCCTTTCGAGTTCACGCTGATAATCTCGCTGATCCGGTCCAATCAAATTTTTATTTTTTCGTAGCGCGTCGAGGCATTTTTTTGAAAAGTCTTTAAAGCAGAGGCGCAACTTGTGCTGTAACTTAGAAGGCTGATTACTTTGGTCTCTCAATCCCGATAAAAATACATTAGCAACTTCCGCGGGACCTTGATTTACAGTTGTACCTATACAGCCCTGCAATACCATTTGTAACATTTTAGCATCGGATGGTTCTTGGACCGTAGCTGCGGCAAGCTGTAAAAACACGTAACACAATGGTAAGAAGAAGCGAGAAAGAGCTTTGCTTATTTAAAACGATGCGAGCCATGTTCATTACCTCGGTCGTTTTCTTTTGAATATCTTCGATCGCCACCTCAATTGGACTGAGTACTATCTGTTTCCTTGCCACAACTCGTATCCTCGTCTTCAAATATGGAAAATGCGTTGCCACTGTCAATATAGTTTTACGTTTGCATTGCTCGCGTAATTCGCCGTGAGCTTTACCTCCAGGTGTAAATGGCGTCGCGTACATAAACCGCTCTACAAAAATATCGTTAATCTTTGGTTAAATTTTAGTTGAAAATGGACGGGCGACGAGCGAAAACAATAAGAAACGATTGAATTTCGTGGCGCTTGGCTTATGTCAGACGTACTTATATTGAAATTCTTGTGAAAAACGGTGGATCGGTGCCTTAATTCGTAAGCCTCGAAGTAAGGCTCGACATAAGTAATTTGTACGAATGCCTTGTCCACTTCGAGCTTACTCGCATCGACTGGATTCGAGTCTTTGATGATAACGACATTCTCAGAGCCAAACCGTTCGGCATAAAAGTTTTCCAGCCTCGAAAAGATCTCGGGCAGTTTTGTCAAGGTTGGCTCCTTATATATAAATTCTTCCCCATTGAGGTCACCGAATCTCGTACCATAAAATCCGACTCTAAAGTACGTCCCGAAAACCCTCTTGCCCGCGAGTTGCTCGATTCTAGTGTAAGCTTCGTGCAGTTTCCTAAATGCATAATAATAATAATGATAATCATAGAGTACGAGAGTAAAATTTTACGACAAATATACGCAACGGCAACGACTACCCGTGAATGTTGGCCAGCTTCTTATAATCGTGCGCGGCCTCGGCTATCGGCAGTAGGACCCTGTATACGTCGGGTATGACCTCGTACATGCCGGCTGCATGGAAGGAACTCGCGGCATGCTCGAGAAGCCCGGCCAGGCCGCTCTCCGAGAAGTCCGGCCCGAGACAGAGGCCCTCCTCCCTTCTGGCGAGAACGTCGTCGCCGACGGCACTCTCCTCGAAGGCATTCGGAGATATGGGACTGAGAGCAACGGCGCCAATCGGTCGGCCACCGCCCCCGGGCTCCAGCAGGTGGAGGTATTCCGCGACGAGGGCGGCACTGTGCACGAGGCACATGGCCGCCTCGGTATGATTCTTGCGCTCCATGTGCTGCTGCGCCATGTTCGCCAGCCACGTGAGCCGCAGATCCGGTGAGCCCTGGTACCCTTTGGCAATCCTACGCGTTAAAATAATCAGCCGATGAAGATTATATTATTAGTCCTCCGATTCATCTAAAAAGGATATTGATGCATTGGAGGTCATCTAACGAGCCTTTCGCTCGATCGATCCTGCACACGCAGCTCACACGTACGATCTACGTGTGCATATGCGTGCACGCGTGTATTCGATAGAAAGGAAATATTTACCATTAGTTAGGATTATTAGTGACTAATATTAGTTGTACAAAAGTCCTTGAAGAATAAAGGAACGTTAAGAATGGATGGACGTTCGCATTTACGTAGGCAAATCCATCGATCAATTGGTATAAAGGAGCGGCTGCCCGCCCCGACGTCTTACCTGTACATTAGATCGAGAAGCATTTCTGGATCCTCTTGAAATTCTTTCATCTTCACTGTGTCCGAGAGTATCATGTGGAGATTGAAGAGTAGATCTTTGACCTGCTCCGGGAAACTCGTGTCCGCCAATTCCGTATCCTTTTCGGCGTAAACCAGGACCGTCTTGAGAGATCGACGCAACGCGCCCTCATTGGGTGCTCTACCGCGACCGACGAGCGCAGAGAGCGAAGTCGTCACTTGCATCTTCACTCGTGCAAAATTCTACGGATAAATAAAGGCGACTCGTTTTAACGGCTCGCGATCTCACATTAGTCATAAAGAAGATGACAGCGCTTCAAAGAGGTAACGATCCTCTTCGATCGTCCAATCATCCCTTCTACAACGTTAAACAACAAGGCTCATGAGATAGATGTACATTGCCAATTTCGAAGTTTTGCCTCATGAGCAAATACAAGCTGGCAGCGGCGTGACTACGAACGGCACTTAACGGCGAGCTGCATCTCGTCAGGAGCGTCAAGCAGAGGTCGCCGCATCTCTCGCTCTCCTCTTCGTCGAAGAGGGCACTGTGGTACTTAAAGACCAGTGCCCGCTGAGTATTGAACATGTGCTGCAGCACCAAAGTGCTTTGGTTCCTCGCCAAAGCTCTCAGCAATACCTTCAGTACACCGCCGACGACGACACCTGCGCGATAAAAGGAGTAGAGGAGGGGCGAATTTGAAAGGGGGAACTCGCAAGTCGGTCGAGGGGCTGCTCACCTCCGCCACCGTCGGCTTGGACGATGGTCTCGAGGGTGTCGAGAACGACGAGGGAAGCCTCGGCTGCCAATGCACCCTCGATGTGGGCATCCTGCTCGACGACTCGACCCTCCGGCTGCTCGGTGAGCCTGCGAAAGTTGAACGAACTTTGATCGAAGAATTCGCCGGCGTTAAGCAACCAAGAGCATTGCCCTACCGATACGACATCTGGTCCTTTCTCCACCTGAGCCTGTCCCCACTCGCTCGTTCCTTCCGCCTCATCATCATCTCGCTCCTGGCGCTCCCCTGGCCGAGAATGACGTCCTCGAGACGGGACCTGATGTCACTCGTGGCGGTCGCCTGTGAAGGCAGCCGCTTCAGCGCCTTTTTGCCCTTGTACTCGAAGGCAGCGGTGGCGATATTCAGCAGCTGGAGGATGCAGAGGATGCGCCTGCTGCTCAGCTCGGAAATCCACTGGGCCACCGCGGACTTCTCGAGTGACTTCATGAGCCAGAGTACGCACATGAGGAGGTGGCGGGTTGCCTCCGAGCTCAGCGACACGCGACACTGGCTTCCGGCTACCTCGGCCGCGGCTCCGCCGGCTATCGCCAAGGCGACCGATTGCGTTATCGAGCCCGTCTCGTCCGTGAAGACGCTGCGCTCTTTCGAGTCCCAGTGGTACAACTGGGGCAGCGCGTCCATGAGGATATTAAGGAGCGGTAGGTAGAGGGCGGCCACCCGAGCCTTAGCCGCGGGTTCCGCATAGCGCGGGTCCGCGTCGTGGCAGCTCATCAGGTAGCGCACCGTGCCGATTGCCTTATTCTGCAGAATGGGGTTTGGTATCTCGAGGGTGTTGGATAGATCAAGTAGCACGAGCCCAACGAGAAAGTGCTGCTGCCGGAACTCCGGGCTCAGCTCGGCGAACCTCGCGCGTTCCGCTGGAACGAGGGTCGAGATGAGGGAGCCAGAGCTACCGGTAGAAGGGCTGGGAGAAGTCGGCGCCGAGCCCGAGGTGTAGCCCGTGCCGAAGGGCAGATTCAGCGCAACGTAGTGCTCGTGCGAGCAGACGGTGCGCACAAGATCGATCTTGAGGCCGAAGAGACCCACGGAGTCAGGTACCTGTATGGGAATCGAATCATATTTGATGATTGGAGCACGGCACTTTAACGTAGGCGGGACTAACATTTCGAATGCACAGGTCTCTCGAATTACTCTCAAGAAAATTGACTTGAAAACGGCCAAGGCCGTTAATTTTCTCTAAAATCTCTCGATTTACAAGTTCACGTTCGTTTGCGATTGAGGACGCGCGTCATTGTGGTGAGTATAAAATTTTAAGTATCGCTGAGGATCTATAATTGATAATTGCGCGATTGTTGGTAAAATTGTTGCGAATTTGAATTTAACATGGAGGACGATAGTTCGACGTTGTGATCCGTCTGCTCAATGATTTACGGGGCGTTAATTAAGGAATGAACGAACCTGCATGGAAGCGTCGGCGAGTGAACAGCAGCTAGTCCTAAGGAGCGACAAGACCAAGCCGCGATCCATCACGGAGAATAGATCCGAGAGGAAGTTGCCAAGGCTCGAGGTGAGATTCGAAGCTACACGGTTATCCTTACCGCAGCGGTTAATTATCTCGCTCGTGAGTGCGGCGACGAGGGTCGACAGATCGTCGCAGAACTGCGGCGAGAAGCGATTCTTGCGCGCCGACTCGAGGAGATTAAATTCGGCTATGGTGACGACCATCGAGCGTACGATTAGCTCGAGAAAGAACCAGGAGTGGGTTATTGCGAGTTCGCGGGCCTGTCCGGTTGATACCACCCAATGCAATGCCAGCTCTTCGTGAAGTATCCTGTGCGTCGAGGGGATACTAAGAGAAACAATACGCTAAAATAAGGCATTTGTATTTATAGACAAAATTTCGAAAAATAGTTGTGTATAATGACAATTTCGATATGCTCGACTAAATATGATAATTGAGAATAAACGATTGCTCGAAAGCCTTGGTAGTTGAAATATAATATCAAAGTGACTTCCAGCGCATCGACTTCATTACCAATGATTGTTAGTGTGCATGGGATCGTGCCTCATGGAGGCAGTGCGATCAAGACCTCGGGAATGAATCTCCATCTCGAGATCCTCGATGGGCAGATCCGGATTGCTTTGGGCACGCGCGACCCCCGAACCCTGAGTCATCCGCGGCAGCGAGCACTGGTAGGCCGTATAGGTGGTGAGCAGCGGATGCCTGCCGTGACTGTCGACTTGGCTGTCCTGCATGTTGGTGATGTTGCGCACGAGAAGACCGATTGCCTCGAAAACGGTTGCCGCCACGTTGAGTGGCTGTGACGGTAGTGTCGGCGGTCGCACCAGCAACGATACCAATTGATCGAATATTTGGGGCAGCGATCGGATGAGCGTGACTTGGGAAGTCCGGGCCAACTCGAGGAGGGCGGCCTTCAGTTCGGATTCCATACCAGCCTCGCCGATACGAGGAGGCACTTGGCCCAATTCTAACGCACCGCAGAGCGATAAAAATCTGCAAGGTCAAGGCCCTTTGTAACAGTCTATGATAAACAAGTGCCACACAATTTTCGTGAACAATGTACAATGTGACGCGCGCGCGCGCACCCACACTAGAATTTCGCTTAGAATTAAAGGGAAAGTGTGGCTCTGACAGCGCGGCTGTGTTACAAGTATCGCGGATTGAAGTATAAAAAAATTAAATCAATGTAAAGGAGAGTAATTGAAGAATAACAATAATCGTACTACCTGTCAATATATTTATCTTGAGGATGTACACTAGAGACAGGTTCGAGTACAAGTGTAAAAACACCCCTGTGAGCGTCGACCCATCGAGTACCGGGAAGAAGAACATCTGGCGCGATGTATGAATAATTGGCCGGTGGAGGATCTAGCATTGCTGGTAAACTAAATTCTCCTGATTGAAGATGCCCATCTCTTAATAACGGTAGCCACTAGAAAATCATCCGTAACGAATAATTAATCTCCCGATGAAAAGCCAAAGTGGTTTTGAAAAAGATCGAATCGACAAGATAAGGATAAAAATAAATGAAATTACGGTGTAAGCTACAGGTGTTTCAACATTTGGCTGCTCCACTTTCTTCTGACAGCTTATATGATAAAAGGTAAAAAGTAGATGGTGCCTAGCACTCAAATCTGCTGGCATTCGTATTTTTATTTCATCGTAAAAATTAGGATTTTTATTATGATATGTGACGGATGTGAAAGACTCGTGCGTCATTTCGGGGCACGAAGATTTTCCAAATATGGCAGTCATAGCCTCGCTTTCTTGCTCGCCGCCCATTAATTGAACGCGCACGGCGATATTCCGAGCTGAACCCGTTCTAGAACTAAAGTTTACTTCCTAATAATTGAAAAATGCATTAATAAATCATTGGAGATATTTATTTTATGGGTGAAGAAAATTTGATGTTTTACTTTGGGATAAACGTAGAGTAGGTTGCGGTAAGTAAGATCTGGTGATATAATTTCACTTGGAAATTCCAATATTTCTTTAATCGGACGACTCTTTTCATCGGGATAAGGCGATAATCTGCGTAAATCGGGATCTAAACATCGCGGCAATTCTTCGGGCCGTGGACTTATATCTAATTTCAAAATCCCAGGTAGGCACTTTAATCTCTTCAAATTTGAGCCTGGCCTTTTTAATTCTACCAATAGTTTATAAAGATCCTCGTCTCGTAATCTTTCGTTTTCTTGCTTAAAAAAACTAGATACCGTTAATGTTATTGGCCTAAAATGAAATGATGTAAATTAGTAATCAAAGACGCGCTCTAAAAAATTAAAAGTAATGCGCATATATGCGTAATTGATAAATATTCTACATATAATGAGGCAATGTTCAAAAGCACAAAAACATCCTGTAAAATATTCGCATTTTCCATAAGTAAATAATACATAATTGTGTAACGTCACAAAAATATCCATTATAATATTTATGTTTTCACTAATAAGTATACTAAAACTAATGTAATTGACCTATGCATCCAATAAATTCTTGTAATACAGCTGTCATATATATTTCAAAACATTAATGAAACGTTTCTGATACATAAATTTAAAGCCTCTAAAATAGATAATCGTACGGGAAATCAAAAATTTTAAATCTGTATAAAAATATTATTCCAATTCAAATATTATATGGCAAAAACAGATGCCCATTTTGTCAGCAGAATTGGAAAATATTTCGCGCATAGTGGCAAATATTTTTAATGTATCGCGATACCTGAAACTATCCAAGCAATTGGCAAAATCATCCGGTGACCAACTTCGTCTTTTGTCAGAGCTACGACGCTCAAGAGATCCTCTTCGCGTTGGAGGATCGACTTTTTTGCGCCACTGTTCTAAACTAACGGATTTTCTATCTAATGATCCGGCACTTCCGGTACTGTCTGTATCTCCGCCACCTCCAATAACTCCAGAAAGATGAATGGCAGTCCATGCAAGTGGCATCCGGTATCGACCGAGTCTGTCACAAGCTGCAACAGCTGCAGCTCTTACCTACGCATATTGAAAAATCTACTATCAAAGCTACGACAAATGTAATTCTGAACTTTTATTTTAAAGCCAAAAACACAACTATTTATAAATTGTAAGTTAAAGGAAATTTCAAAGGAACAAGTATTCTTATATAAGATTAAAAGTATATAAAAATGTGAAAGTATAGCTTTAAGAGAGAAATGCCTTAATTGTATTATTATTAAAAAACGCTTATATGGAGAGAGAAATTAATAAATTATTCACATTGTTCATAATATTGAATATTTTATATAGATTTTGTTGGGTTTTTTTTTTTTTTTTTTTTTTTCAAATAACTGTGTAAAATATTATTTTATTATTAATGAAAGTATTGATTTTTAAATTAAATTAGATTTTAAAATGATTAGTAAGAACAATAATAATAATCATCGTTATCGTCATAATGATCACAATCACTATACCTTGTCTTTATTTTTATCATCTCTCAAATAAGGCTCTGCACATTCGGAAATATCTCCTTGTAATACTTTCTCCAATCGAACCACAAGAAACAAATCAGTACTTGGCTTACTTATGCTCAGGATACAATTTCTTGCTAAGGTACTCCCATCACTGTATGCTACATGACTTCCGAGCATCCTTTTCAAACTCTCTGTGTTCATGTCAACATAAAAGTTTTCCGAAACCTATTAAATATTATTAACATCTGGTTAGAAAAAAATCGTTGGTAACTTTTTTTTAATTAACACCACTACAAAACCTTTTTTTTCTCTTTTGCATCATATAAAGCGAGACTTGCAAATATAGGTTCTACTTCTAATTCCAATTTTAATTGAAGACATTTTATAAGGATTTTGTGAGAAAAAGGTTCCAAAGGCTCTGTCGCGAGAGTAATTTCCTGCCACTCGTCATCCGAAGATGTTGGTAAGGCATAAAGTGGAAATAAAGCTTCCTTTAAATAAATAACAAAAATCGTGAATTTTCAAAATTAAATATTTATTCTTAAAATTGCATAAATAATGTCTTACTTGACGATCTTCCAAACGCTTTTGCTCATTCACTTGATCTATCGTTTCAGGGCAGACTCGATCAAGGAGACTTGGCAGAAGAGGATCGTGTTGAGAATGTCGAAGATCCAAACTTGCCCATGATCCACGTGAAGTATCTTGTGATCCGCATTGTGAAAGATCCGACTCATCTTCGTTTGGAGAACTCGAACCATTTACTTCCTCTTGATCTACCTATTAGTATATTACATAAAAAATAAGGTAAATTAATTTAAATATCTAATAATAATAATTAAAATTGGTCTTACTTCAAAATCTTGTCTTGGTGTTTCTTGGACTAATTGATCTCTTGCTATAGGTGAAGCCCGTCCTTTAAATTTCCTGTGCACAATTACCCAATCTGAAGTAAAACTGTCAATGCACCTTTTCACATACGGTGATACTAATTCACTAAAATACATATAATTATATTTTACAATCTTTTTTTAATAATTAAAAAATTTAATCACTAAATATTAGAATATTATTTTACATAGGTTCTGAAGGAACTACTGGTTCTTCTGTGCAAATTTTTCTCTTAATTACTTTTAATTCAACATCATTTGGAGGAAAATCTAAAATTAATTTTAAAGGATCTCGTTCTAATAGAGTTTGATGTTGAGCTAAAAATTCTTCATAATCTAGCGGTTCAACTATTTCGCAAAGAGACATCTAAAATAAATAAAATAAAAATAATAATGAAAACTGTGTTTCCTAATAGAATAATGTTCTCTATACGTACTGTTGAAGAAAATCCAGAAAAATTACTTCCACTTTTTGACAATTCTCTAGAATAAGATGTCGACGTAGCTATTTGCCGACGAACATCTGCAGCATGTTGTTTACTCAATTTGTGGGCAAAGGCTCGCTGCACCGAAGACATATTTTTCTCTAGTTCGTCTACAGCTTATTCAAAATAACACTCGTGTACTAAAAATACATTAAAAAAATCTTAAATAGATCTTCATCTTAAAATAACCTCAAAAAAACTAGGTATGAAAACCAATGATTTTTATTAATAATAAAATAACGATAGCAATATTTTAATAAAAACAACAATTTACTAAGAAATTTTAAATTATTTATAGTGTCTTATTACGTTAATGTTTTCACTTTACAATTAAAAGGTATTTACTTTTTCAAAGAAAAATTTTGTTTGCTGAACATAAAGTCACATGTATTTATAATATATTATGTACAAATTATTTTATTTTTATTCATATAATAAATTAATAAGTAGATACATTTTATAAAATAATGAACGAGTGATTCGGACACTTGACATACCCATACACGGCGACGCTAATTATTATGCATCAAATTTTCACTAGACAATACACATGGATACATCATGCCTATAATATAATATACTGAAACATATACTTATGTCATGTACATACTTTAAATAATAAGTTTCTTGTCTTCGGCCATCGTCTCAAATAGAATTCTATCATTATGTCTCATCTGTGAATATTACGCTCATTAGTTATGTGTTTGCGGCAAGAGCATTTGCCGTGCCGCAATGTGATTTCCAATCAACAATTGTTTCTTTCTTTTTCCATATTTTCGAATGACTCGTGACTTATGATAAAAATAAAAAGTAGGATAAAATTTAAAAAATTTTGTAAGAATAAATATTTCACAATTGGTTTAAAATAGCATTTAAGATTAAAAAAATTAGTTTGAAAGATCTAAATCGTATGAACGCTATTCAAGCAAATTATGCTAAACTCAATAATATTTCATTTTTAAAAAATACACACAAAATTAACAATGAACTGTAATATTTATACTCCAAAGAACAATGGGATTGCACATTTGAGACTATTGTGTTGTTTTTTTCTATAATACTATTTATAAAAAGCAATTTTTTTAATAATCCCTTTCCTTTTATAAATGGAGCTATTGAGCATCCAAATTCAAACAGTTTCATTACGATCCATTGATTAAAATATTGAAAAATTTATTTTAAATGAGTTGATACGTTGAAATAAAAACAAATGATTAAATTATAATTTTTAAATATTCAATTTTATATGAATGATTTAAGTCTCTTACATTACAATATCAAATGATGTATTATGTATAATTCAAATTGAATGAATGATTAATTAAATCATAATGAACGTTTCACTAAACTAAATGTAGATGAAAATTAAAATTAATTGAGCATTGAGAGAAATTTAATAATAACCATTTAGGATGGATTAGCGACTATTAATTTGAAAAAAAAAATCAACATTTTTAGATGTTCAAGTTTATAGTGTAATTAAATTTTAACAAATTTTTACTTCTAACAATAATGTTAACAATAATTTATTATTAAATATCTATAAATTACTGTTCCACCTTTTTCTTATTTATTTCACTATTACAATAGCTGTTTTTAAATAAATATTCATAATAATAAATTATATAAGAATAGCTAATACCTAAACCACAGTATATGGATGTTAATGCTAAAGGTAAAAATGGCAATTTATCACTAAAAATTATTCTGTGTATCACAGTTTCATAAATTGTAATCACTGGAAGAAATCCAACATAAAATTGTTCATAAGAATATAACCCAATGCAATCAAATTGGTTCTTAAGTAATATTATGGATTTTATTAAGTACATAAACCACAGAATCAATTTTAATGGCATTAATTCTTGTGGATAAAGTAGAGGAAATAAGGATGTATGTCCAACTGAACTTAGTATGATGAAAATCCTAGCATCAAAAGCATTACTTGTAGCCAGAATACTGAAAAAATATTTATAAATTTAATCGTTATAAGTTTTAAATAATTTTAATTTTAATTCAATTCATTACCATAGTGGTATTATTGCTGTAAGAATGGCTTTTTCATGTACATGCCAACCAAACATAAAAGAAGTCAATCCGCACAAGATAATACATCTTACAAAATTCTTAGGACTATTGTAAGTATTCGTATTAAAAAATAAAGTCCAAAGAGCTGGCTGCAAATCAATATATAAAATATACATGAAATAAAATAGTTGTAAATTGAAATATCATTATTAAACTTCCATAGAAGATTAATTTTTAACATTTACAATACATACTATCGTTAATAAAAAGGTAATGACAAATGTAAATATTGGCGTTGGAGTCGGTAAAATCATAAAAGAATCTTCTTGAACTAATCCACCACTCATCGATGCAATTTTCACATTATCAAGCCAGTTAAATTTCTTCCATATCACAGATAATAGTTTATCAGCACCAGCGCATAAAGCCCAAGCATTAGGAGCCCAATAGGCATGAATAATGCCTCTTTTAAATGGAAATAGTCTTGATAAAACCTATTAGAAAAACTATTAACTTATAAACTTAGAATAATTATTAAAAACATTAAATAATTTACAGCACCTGAGGTAGATGATTAATAAATGGTCCAAATGACAATATAAATACAAATGTTACAATTACTCCAAGCTTTATAAATCTGTAAATAAATTGATTATCCTTCAAACAATAACTTCTTAATAACCAAGTTCCATATGCGGGTGCAATATATAAATAAATATGTTTTAAATTAAGAAGTACCGCGAACCAGAAAGCTCCTTGTAAAATTTCATTCTGTGAAAATCAAATTTAAATTATTCCATCATATTTATTACAGAATCTTGCATGTGAAACCATATTACTTGACTTGATATTTTCGAAGCTTTTGCTATTGATATTAATAATATACCAAGAAGAAATCCATTATATTGAAAATGTATGTGATCGACTATCAACAAACCAATATTGTATAATGAAAGTAGCACAAATACCATAAAATTTTGAATTGATTTACAGAAAGTTTGTGCTGCTCTAAAACACAAATTACACATTATTTCTGTATAACATTTATAACATTATTCTTATTTATTTATTAATTTATTTACACCAATGATTCTTACTCTCTTATACCATAAGCAAAAACTAAATCTGCACATATGACTGTACAACGTTGAAATAATTTTGTTTGTACAGAAGCATAATTATGATTATTAATATTTAGCATTTTAAAATCAATAAGAGTTGCAATTTTACTTAAAGAATATTCGAACCAAGCAAATAAAGGTGGATAATCTAATGTCCATTGGGATTTTTCACTTATGTACCATTCATTAACAGGTAAATTATGTGTAATTGCAAGCCAATTACGATGTACTTCAAAATCTGTTGAATGACTAAAAAGTTAAATTAATAAATACTTTTAAACATTTTCAAATATACAAGCTATAAATCTATACCCACTATGTTGGAATTAAAAGGATTTTTATACACGTAATAAGCAAAAATGTTTTTACAAGAAATTTATCTGAAATATATGTTTTCATTGTGATAATTTCTAATTCATTATTATCGTTATTTTCATTTAACAAATTCCGCATCTTGAGAAGTTTTAAAAAAATTTAAGGTTAGAATATCCACTTGTGTATTTACTGTATATTTTGCGGTACTCAACATCGTCACAACTTTATCTATAAATGTAATTTCATTATTAAAAAAAAAAAAAAAAAAAAAAAAATACATACCTTTGTAAGCCTATATAATTATAAAAATGATATGATTGTTCAAATCAAGATATACGTAAATGATTGCCGATAAAACATATAATGTATTAATTACAATAGTTATGTTTCTTTTATTAAATTGTAAAAAAATATAGTTATACATACATACATCAAATATTGTTCGCTTATAACTATATATGTATACATATATGTACAATAAGATTTAATATTTTAGGCATTTTTAAACAATGGCAACTAAACAATGGTATTGAAACAAAATCCAAATTTCTTTTATATATTAATAGTTACTTATGTTAATTAAATATATTTGAGAAATATTATTTCATTTATATTACAACTTGAATTTGATGTACACTAAATATAAAAAATATAGTATATACTAAATATATTTATTATAATATATTTTAAAAAATTATTAATATTACAATTTTTATATTCATTATTATATTGCATATATAAAAAAAAAAAAAAAAAAAAAAAAAAAAACAAATTTAAAATTTAAATATAATAAATTATAATATTAATAAACTGTTGAGAATAATTTTAAAAATGTATCATGAGGAATAAAAATTTGGATTTGCATCAATTAACAATATTCTAAATATATAAGTTTTATATAAAATTACAATGTGTATTGAATACACTTTTAGTCAAAATTTCGATATACATAAGAAAAGAATTATTTAAAAATTAGAAATAATCTCTCTTTACATGCTACATAGTGAAATATTTTCTATTGGCTAAACTCATATACAAATGTAGAAAATACCTTAGTGCTATTTTTTACATTCATAATTGATTTTTGTTTTTGAAAATTTTGGATAAGTAGTTTTATATAAAGTAGAATAAAAATTTTCGTTTTCAATAAAAATGTTATTCACAATATCTATACTTAAATGTAATTATATTAAAGCGACTTGCAAAATCTTGTCTTAAAAAATATACTTTTGAATAATTAGCAATTCCTCAAACCTTCAAGTTCTTTTATATATTGCTCGAGTTCTTTAATTTTTCTGGCACGATTTCTACACAAGTCTTTCATTAAATTTCTTTCTTTTTCCATTTTTTCTAGCCTTAAATGATCCTGCAATTTATTATTATTATTATTAATTATTATTATTATTAATTATTATTATTATTATTTATTATTATTATTATTATTATATATACGTTAAATTATTGAGTATTCTTTAATTTTCAACAATACTAAACTCACTTCAACAATGCCGCTGCTCATCCCAGTCATACAAATTTTATTTTCTGCATTAACTTGAACGGATTGGTCTCTTTTGTTAGTTTTTTTTTGTCTACAAATCTGACATTCACGATAATCGTCTTCCACTAATGCTTGTTGTAATTTCTTTACTTCCAATTTCAATTCTGAATTCTAAAAATGTACATGGAATATTCCTATTAAAAAAATATAAAATAAATCAAATTAAAAATAAATACGAAAATTACCCTCGTTTTAACAGCTATTAATTTCTCCTGCAGTTCATTACACTTTGTTTGATAGGGAAAATTTTCTTCCCGAAGCTGAACTTCGAGCATTGTAATTTTAGTATTCCTAGATACGAGATCGACTGACATCTCACGAATACGATTTCTAAGTTCGCAGCAAGATTGGCATTCTTCATGAATAGGGCTATTAGTTTGAGTTGGAGTAGTAATTGGTGATTCAGAGTCGGTCATTTCCTTACTATCACAATCGACATCGAGATTTCTATTTTGATTAAGTCTGTCAGAACGTCTGGAACGTCTTCTTTCCATTTGCGATGTTTGACTGGTACAGGAGTTAACTTTGCATTTAAGTTCCGTGATTTTATTATTTTGAACTTCGATTTTATTAACAAGCGACTGTTTCTCTGAATTTATTCGGACAACCTCGTTTTGCAATTTATTATGATTCAATTCTGTAACTCGTAAATCAATTTTAAGTTTTTCGTTATCTTCTTCTAAAGCTCTTAATTTTTCTATAAATCTTTCATTAGATGATCCTGTAATTAATCGATCCTGTAATTCGGCTATTTCATTTTCTTGTTTGTGAATGTGACCAACTAATTCATCCATTTCATCATTAAGCTCATTATTTTTCTTTACAACCTGAAAAATAAAGTTGCATTTATTCAATGTATCGATAAAAATTTAATAAAAACATATGTGTATTGAACATACATCTAACATTTGATTGCGATAAATTTCAAATTCAATAGAAATTTGATTTTTTTCTTCCATGCTAGTTTTATATATTTCATCCTTCTGAATATTACATACTATTATCTTTTCTTTCAGTTCTTCGTTATCATTTACAAGATCCAAAATTCGACTCTCTAATACAGACTTTTCTCCTTTAATATTTTCCAATTTTGTATTCAATGACTCTTTCTGTTTTTGCAATGTATCAACTTCTATACTACACTCTACCAATTTTTGATTCTTATTAGCAATTAACATCTTCTTATCTTCAATTTCAAGTATTACATTATTTTTTTCGCGAAGAAGCGCTTCATACTTTTCACGAAGTTTTTGCAAATTTACGTTATTATACTTATCTCTTAGGGATTCTAAAGACATTTTAGTCGTATTAAGTTCTTGCTCAAGAAGTTCATTCTTCCCTTGCACTTCCGTTAATTCCCACTGTACTTGAGATTTCGTTTCCTGCAACTCTTTAATGCGATTATAAGATCCTTCCAAATGATTTTTGAGTAAACGAATTTCATCTTGCAAATCTTGAATTTCATTTTTAACTCGTATTTTGCTTGTACTATTTCTGACCTAAATAAATAAAATAAAAAAAAAAAAGGGGGGGGGGGTTAATATAATATTATTTATAGAATCAATTTTACGTGTATCAAAAGATGAGAAAAACAAAAAGTAATATAACCTTTCGGTTAAGAGTTTCATTCTCCCTTTCAAGTTCCAAACATCGATCCTTGCACTCCTCTAATGTACTATACAAAGTTGTATTTTTATTCTTTAATTCATGAAGTTGCTTATTCAGACCTTTTGATTTTATTTCCTCGGATGAAAGCTTGTCTTGCAATATATCTATTTGTTTTTTGTTTTCCAGTTTCAAATTATGAATCTCCTCTTTACATTTTTCTATAGATATCTTACGATCTACAATTTGAGATTGCAAGCTTTCATATTCTGGTTTCATAGTTTCAACTTTGGTTTTGAATTCAGTAAGTAAATCACACTTTATTTTTAAAAGATCCGTAATCTCCTCGATATGCTTATTCTTTTCTGAATTTTCGTTTTTCAGTTGTTGATTTATCTCTTCAAAGTGCTCTATTTCTTGTATCATTGTTTGAATTTTATGTTTAGAACCCATAAATTCATTTGTTTTAATATCTATGGTATTCTTTAAATGCTCGATCTGAATATCTAAGCCTTCGATCGTGCTTTTTAAATCATCATTGGTTGACTTATATGATCCTAACTGTGAATTAAGCTCTTTCAATTGGCGCTCATATTCTTCTTTTTCGTGTTGTAATCGAGCCTCCCATTCTTCTTCCTTAGTTTTTGCTATCCTTTGTTTCTCTTGAACAGCATTGATGACGGAATCACGAGCATCGTTAAGTTTCGATTTCTTTTCCAATTCATTGTGTAAGGAATTAAATTCCTTCTCCAAATTAGTTATATTAAGTTGCAATTGTTGATTTTCATGTTGCGCTTCTTTCAAGCTTTCTTTCAGCATCTTCGATTCATCTTGCAGACGCTTTTTCTTGTTTTCTTGTTCTGCAAACTCTACTTGAATCCTTTCAAGATCAGATTCTAGAGCCTGGGCCCAAGTTTTAGTTCGTTTTTCTGAATCGAAGCTCTGCTGTTTCTCTTCCTCCAATTTTAATTTAGTTTTTTCAAAGTTTTCGTGTAGCTTCTTTACCACTTCATTTTCCTTTGAAACAATGTCATTGACAAAGCGTAAGAAAATATCATTAATTGACATGTTGAGTAACTTTTTTAATTCCTTTTCAGAAAGACTTGTTAAATGTTTAATTTCATTTATCATTTGGGATTTAGCTGACTTAATTTCTTCTTGCAGTTTTTCTTCCAAACTTGAATTTTTTTTGTTCGATTGTTCTACAATTCCTTCAAAGCTTTCTAATTTATTTATAAGATTTACATTTTCTTTGTCATATTTATGTACAAGAGAATTGCAATCATCTAATTCTTTTCTGAATTTTATTTCCGTAATCTGCAAAGAATTCACCAGTTCCTCCTTTTCCTTTAATAAACTCTCAAGCTTAACTTCAATTTCTAGTTTTTGCGCTTCAATGCTTTTCTCTGTGATACGAGCTGCTTCAATTTGTTTATATAATGTTGCTAATTCTTCCTCGAGAAGATTAATCTTTTCTTCATAATTCAATGCATTTGCTTTAGCAGTATCGCGTTCTTTTTTTAACTCTTCATTCGATAGTTTAAGCGATTCAATTTCTGATACAGTGTCATTTTGTACATTTTTTAATTTATTTAACATATTCATATGATTATTGCTCGATCGTTTTATTTCTTTTATATCATTAGACAGTCTATCAAGATTTTCTTTGAATATTTGCATTCTTAAATTTCTACTTGACATATTAGAATCTAAACGCTTTCTGTCTTTTTCTTGAATCGGGCTGGCAAAGGAATTTGTACTTAATTGTAATTTCTCTTGTTCATTATATTTTTCATTAAATTGATTTGATAATGCATTATCATTTTCCTTCGATTCTTCTAACTCATTTTGTAAATTTCGAACCTTTTCCTCCATTAACGTTAAATTCATTCCATCGTAAATGCTACCATTAAGCGTTGAATCCATTAAATTCAAACTTATGTTAAAGTCTTCGTTGGCTTTTGCTCTTAAACTTTCCGCATCGGTACATTGTAATTGGAATTTCCTTTTAAGATCGTCGATTTTCAAATTCAACGACTGGTTTTCTAGTTTTAGATTTCTTCGGCATTCGTTTAATTCTTTGAAGTGAGCACATTGGCTACAATTTTTTAACGTTAAATCTTCTAACTTTTTATTTTTAACTATTAAGAGCTCATTTTCTTTTTGTAATTGCCTTATTTTTTCATGCATTAACGAATAATTATTTATTTCGTTTGAAATATGCTCACGCATCGATTCTTCGAATTTCATTTTTGATACATTAGCATCGTTTTCACAGATAATTTCAGGCCCATTTTGCTTATCAGAATCACCCAGCATATTAACCAGTAAATTATTATTTTCTTTACTTAATAGAGACATAATTCCCTCCAGTTCAATCAATTTACATTTTAATGCTTTATTTTCTTTTTTAATAAATTCTGCATTGTCTCTACAATAATTTTCAGGATTTTCTTGATCTGTGCAAGTCCTTAATTCTTGTTTTAAAATATCAACAGTCTCTTTCAATATATCACAGTCTTCGTTAGATTCAATTAACTCGTCTGATATTTCAATATTTTTCTTTTCGAAATATTCTATTTTTTGAGCTAACATTTCAGATGTTTCTTTAAACGAACACTGATGATCATTAAGTTGTATTTGACTTTCCTTCACTTTTTCAAGTTCTTCGATCTTATCCATTAAATTTGTAGACAAGTCGATATTTTCTTTAGTCAAGCTTTTTATTTTTTCTTGATATTCTGAAACTTTGTATTTTAATTCCTCATCCGTTATAACTGGTGTAATAGAGCTCATGTTTTCAAGCTGGTCATGTAAAATAGCCAATTGATCTTTTAAAGAATCTTTTTCTTCTGAAATCGTAAGTAAACGATTTGTTAAATTAGCGATATTCATTTGCAAATTTCTAACAATCTCATCATTTTGTTCTCGTGTATCCGATAACTGCTTTGACATTTCCATGTTTTCATTGGTTAGTATAAAAACGGTTTGTTGAAGTTTAATAAGGTTTTTATTAACGTCACTAATAGCTCTTTCAACTTCTTCAGTTTCGTGAATCTTCTTTTGAAGATCATTGCATAAATTTGCATTTTCTTTTTCAAGATTAACTCTAATCTTTTTGAGCTCTTCGATAGTATGTGGTTCATTTTTTATTTTAATTGGAGACACTGTTTTAGTATCTTTAAATACACTTACATCATTATTTTCAAATAATTCCGATATATCGTTGACATCATCAGTTTTAGTTACATCGTTGGCCTAAAAAATTATTAGTTAATGCAATTTGTTTAATTTAAATATTTTTAAAGTCTTACCAATTGAATATTAATATTTGTTGATAAAATTGAAATATTTTTACTCTCATCGTTCGTTGTAAGTAAAGAAGTATTATCTTGAATGAAAGATTGACTGCATTCCATTTCATCGAAATAAGTTATATTGGCAAAAATACTGCTTGATTCTAATTCAAACTTTTTGTTTGACGATTTTACAAGGCTATTGTCATTAACCGATACATTTAATTTACTAGATAAATCTTTTTGTTCTAATATTGAGAAATTAGTAGGTTTCAAGAAAATATTTGAATCCATCGATGTAGTCTTATTTTCATCTAATGTAACCACAGATTGGTTATTTTCATTAAATTGGCTGATTCGATCTTTTACAGAATCGCTTACATTACTCACTGATACTGTTGCATTTAATTTTGTAGGACTTATGATACTATTCACATTATTTGCCAATGTTGTATTTGATTTTAATGGACTTCTTAGTGAATTGGTACTTGTCATTGATAAATTAAGTTCCTCGATAGATTGTGTCTTAAGTACTTGTTTTCTTAATTTTTCATTTTCTAGCTCTGATTCGTCGAGAATGATTTTTAAATCCTCATCTTTAAAATCTTTGATTAAATTGGCAGAGTATATATGATTAATTTTTGCTTTTAATTTATTTTTTTCTAATGTTACAATATCAATTTTCTCTTCAAACTTTTGTACTCGAATTTCAACATCTTGCTGTAACTTTGACATTTCATTTGTTTTTTTAATAATTTCATTCTTGAGAACATCGATTAGAGATCTCAATTCTTCAAAATCTTTAATTTTTACAGACAACTGATTATTAAGTGATATAATTCTTGCTTCGAATTCCTCGTTGGTATTAATTAATGTTACAATTTCTTCTTGATAAGATTTTATTTTTTCATGATCATGATTAACTGCTTCTGTTTGAACTTCTTTAGATACATATTCCAATGTTGTTAAACGATTTGCACATTCCTTTAGATGTTCAATCTCTTTTGTCAATTTGTCTTCTAATTGCTTATGTGTAGTAATTTCAAGAGAGTTTTCTTCAATAATTTTCGAAAGCCTGTGTATTTCATTACTTTTTTCTTCATCGACACTAGAAATGCATTCTGCTTGACATTCTTTGGATTCTCTGTGGATATTTGTTAAAGTATCTAAGTATTCCTGCAAATGTTTAATCTCTTTTATTCTTTCTTCTTCACTGAGCTTAAACTGGGCTATCTCATTTTCTTTGATTTGAATAATTTCTGTTAAATTAGTAATATCCTTATCAAACTCTTTATTGGAATCAATTTCTTTATGTACCGATACAATTTCTGTTTGACAATCTATACTTCTATGTTTAATTGCTATTATTTTATCTAAAGTTTCCTGCAAATTTTTAATTTTCATTCCCATTTCTTCATTCATTTGTTTATATTTTTTTATTTCAATATTATTATTTTCTATAATTTGTTGATAGCCTACGCCATTGATTTGATCTTCACATGAGGAATTTACATGATTTTTATCAACCAAATGTTTTACTTTATACTCTTCAACTGTTTCTTTAATTTTACTAATATTTTCTAAATGTTCCTGGAATTGTTCGGTTTTCTGATTTATTTCTTGAAAATCTTCTTGAATTTTACTAAATTCATTTTTTAAAATATCTTGCGTTTGAAAGTCATCAGATATTTTTTTAATTTCATTTGTATTATTTAAATAAAATTCTTCTTTAGCTTCTTCCTCAAATTGCATGTATTTTTTCATTTCAAATGATTTTTCTTGAATTATTTTTTCTAATCTAGAAATTTCTGTATTCTTCATTTGATCAACTAATAAAGTATTTTTATTTTCACAGTAAAGAAAATCTTCTGTTTGAGATTCTTGTGACTTATTTTCAACTTTAACAGTATCTAGACTATGCAATTCTTTAATTTTCTTTTCCATTTCTTTTTGAAGCTCTTTGTATTTCACAATATTCATGTCTGGTTCTTGAGTAAGTTTTGATGCCTTAGAGACATCATGATCTATCTCAGCATTCATTTCATAATCATTATTTTCATCTTTATTCTCAGGAATTATGTCCATTTGACATTCTTTAGATATTTGTACAATTTTTAAATTAGCATCTAAGGTTTTTCTTAAAGACTCATTTTCCATTTTCATTTCTTCTTCATTTTCTTTATATTTTGTAATTTCTAACGTTTTTGCCTGAATCACTTCGTTCAATCTTAATATTTCATTTTCCTTCTCTTGACTGACATCAGAAGGCAACTGTTGTATTGACCCATCATCATAACATTCTTTTTTTGTTGATGTTTCATAATTATTTACAATAGATTTATTAGAATCTCTATCTGTCCTTTCTAACTCAACTATTCTCTCTTTTAATTTAAGCAGTTCGTTATTTTTTTCTAGTAATTTTCCCATGAGGTGATCTGTATCAACGGTTAAAGTTTTAATCAGAATATTGGAATTTTTTAACTTATTAGTTTCAGCAATAATTTCACTTTTTATTTTAGTATTTTCCAAAACTAATTTCTCATTCTGAATACGTAACTGATCCAAATCTTGAAGAGATTTATTATAGTCATCAGATAATTGTTTCTCAAGAAGGGTTGATGGCTTTTCTTCATTCTTTTCATTTTTTAAATTTGTAAGTAATTCATCCAATTTTTTTAATTTAGTTAATGTATCCTCATTATTATCCTTATAAAATAAAGAATTTTCCCATAATCCTGAAATATCTGGAACATTCTTAATTAATTCATTGATACAATTTAATGAAACCTTTTGTATTTCATCAAGTTTTGTGAAATTTATACTATATTTTCTAAGTCTTTCCAATAATTCATCAATTTGTTTTTGCATAAATATTTTTTCATTATGTGAATTAAAATCTATTTGTTCAGCATACAACATCTGCCTTTCAAAACTAGTGAATTCTTGTAGACTCTTATACTCTTCGGTAATATAATTAAGCCTTGCTCGTAATACAGATTTTGGAGTGCCTGGGGATAATTCTTTCACTGTGGTATCTAAAATTATTAATTTTAAATATTTTGTATATATTTTTTATGAAAATTATTAGATTAAAAGGAATATAATGAAAATAAAATTATAATAGATAATTGCATGTTTTTTTTTTCATTAAATTAAAAATATATTAAGACATTATTAGCAATATATTTCTAAAATATAAAATCTAAATAATATTGAAATTAAGTAATACCTTGAATTGAAGTGATTAATTTTTCTTTTTCAGGTGATAATAAATCGCTCAAAACACTCCCATTACTATAATGACAAATTTCAATGTTATCCTGAAATTTTACTTGATTTTGAGTTTTAGATTTTCCTTTTAGAAATTTGTTTTCCTCTATAAAGTCTAGAGTATTATTCGTTTGTTCTTCACGCTCTTTAACAACTTTTATCATATCTAATTCAAAATCTGCAAAAGCTGTCTCAAATGATTCATCATTTAAATCAACTGTTTGAATAATACTTTTTCTATTTCTAATACCGCTACGTCTCTCTATTTTATTTGGTTTTGCTTCTGGACTGATACAACAATTTTCCTTAATTGTTGGTAAATCTTTTGAGTATAAACTAAATCGAGGGCACATTGTTTGATCACCAGCCCATGTTCGTCTTCTTTTAGATCTGGGAATTTTTGAGCTATTATCATTTCTTACAGCATTATCTGTAGAAATAATACTGTTTTCTAATAGTTGAATCCGCTCCTCCAACAACTGATTTAATCTGCCAGTTTCTTGTAATTTATTCTCTTTTTCTTGTAATTTAGATTCCATTTCTTGCACATCTGCTATTCTATTTTCATATTTGGCTTTTTCAAGCTCTTCATGCAATTTAGCAATTTGTTTTTTATAACGTTTTAATAAAGCAGCATCTGACATAACTTCATTTAATTGCGGTTTATTTTTTACACTTTTTGCTCTTGATGCAAACCACAAAGTACATTGAGTTTCTTCATAAGCAACAGGTGTGATAGCACAAATAATAACAGTCATTGCATTGCCACCTAAGGATGCTTGTAATAACCTCGTTAACTTGCTATCACGAAAATTAATGTATTTATTGGTATCCGAAGATTCACTGAGCTGTTTAATAACAAGTGCAAGAGTTGACAATGACATATTTATATGAGTACCTTCTTTAAATCTTTCACCAGTTGCATTGGTTTGTCTTGCTCGTTCAGAACCTGCAAGATCTACTAAATTCAACTGAGCAACTTGAACAGCTCCGTCAGAATCGCTTACTTGATCACGACTCTCAATAGTTATTCTATAGTAATAAAATGTCATTTATAATAGCGCTCGAAACTATTAAATCTCAAATACTGAAACATATTAATATTTCTGAATGAATAATAACAAAGTGATTACCTGAAAATTGTATGACTTCTACTACTCCTGTCATTCATATCAGTTTCACCGATTCTACGATTTTTGTCCCCTTTCTTCATTATGGCCATAATTAAATCGGGACTATTCGCAATTTCTTCCTTGCACTTCATAACTTGTACCAAACCATTATTGTCTTCGCGAAGTTTCAAATCAACAGCAGTGGTATCTAACAAGTCATTTACTTTTTCATTATATATCTCAAGATAAGAAACCCTTAAAAGAAATTCTCGACCACGTGTTTCAGCAATAGCGTCAAACATATAATCAACTGCCATTGGAATAATTCCTGGTTCGTTTGGTGTTCCTAACATAGTGTGAGTTTTGCCAGAACTTGTTTGGCCATATGCAAATACAGTGCCATTAAAGCCTCTAACTGCAGCAATGACAATAGGCTTAACAACAATATCAAAAACATGATTATTAGTTTTCTCAGAATCAAATATGTGATCTGAAATGATGAAAAGTAATTAATTTTGAATTAAAGCAAATATATTAACGCCTTGTTAATAGAAATGTATATATCATTATGAGAAATAAAAGATAAATTACCAAATTGAAATCCGCTTTCACCGCGTTTTTTTTCAGGATCTGCAGGAACAATAACATTATCAACCACAGTCCATTGTACTTGAAGGTTTTCGTCCTTTTCCCTTTTGATTAACGGCCGAACTTTAATCGCCACTTTTATACTATCGGACATTTTTACTATAAAAACACACGAAAATTATTTTTCCGAAATATTATCACATAATTAAATTCCTAACCGCTAAAAAATTTGAGACGTTAACGAATCATTCAAGCAATGTCGAATTTTTCAAGCCGTCGATGCTTTTCCGTTAATTTTTAAACCCTCCATTGTGATTGGTTGATCAATGACATTCACATCTATTCAAATAACCCTCAATCCCGTATTTTATATATCAAATTCATACTCCTTACACATTCTACAAAGTCCAAGGAGAATCAAATTTTGGAAAAACAAAAAACTCCTACACGCTATTTAATTGCCCATAAAATTAAGGACATTATTTTTTTATTATAAATAAATGAAACACATATAATTTCAGAGGTTTTCAAATCGCTAAACACACTCGATTACAACTTGAGCATGTGATATGGTTAAGTTCAAGGTATCCTTGAAAAAGTAGCGCGAAATTTAAAAATATTTTAAATAGGACGGAAAGGCCAAGCAATTTTTTGAAATTTCGTAATAAACTATATAAAGTAATTTTTCTACGTAAGTATAAAATGAAACAAAAATTACGAATGCTTATTTTCAAATATTTATGTACTACGCAGAGGCAAGCATTCATACGTAAATAATGTAACGCGCATAAAGATATTTAACCACCAAGAATATAATTGCTCCCCATAAAAGTTGCATACGATTATTTAATTTTCATAATTGTGCAACTCTATAATTCGATCATAAAAACTATTATTTACTACTAATATTAAATTTGATGATTAGGCTTAATGATTAAATACAATAAAAGTCAAATAGACTTTGTCTTTAAGTACTAAATATTCAACCCTAAGCACGATTGATCCAGCAACTTTATTCCTATTGATTCGCGTGCATATTATTGATGATTATTAAGTAAACACGAATCCGCAGAGTGAATCATGCTGTTAACGACAATGTGAATAAATAAGATAGAAGAGCGTAAAAATATTACAAAAATGTTATAGCACGATGGATTAAAGGGCTCTTTCGACCGATGATTTTCCATGTAGATGAAACCGTTTATAAAAATTCAGGGAAGTATTTTTTATATTTTATACTATTTCAACTAATAATTTATTAAAAAATAATGAACCTTTCTTTACCTCCATAGAGAAACATGCGTGTCTCTATTAATTATTTTTAATTATTTAAGCATGCTTAATGCAATTGATATGTTCTTACATGAAAGCAATTTTTTACCTGATTTTCAAAACCTGCGTTTTCAGAGACGATCTTGGATTAAATATTTGAATAAAATATTTGACAAATATTTTAACGCTTGTGTAATTTAATGTTAAACAATAAGGATTGAAATATATAGGGGGTATTTTATTACTCTATCGCATCTTTTCTATTACAACATCCGCAAATGTAAAAGGAATACCTTGATACTATTTACTTTAAGTAAGTATAGCATTATATATTTTTTTACAAAAGGGAAAATATCACTTCACTCTATACTTATAAATAATGTTATTTTCAAACATCTATAATGCCATGTATATAATTCAATATGAAAACTCAAATGTCGAATATTCAGATGTTAGGAGGCTGAATATAAATGTCATAAAAATACATATAAAATGAAAACAAATGAGTAAAAAGTTCTTTCGTTAACTCAAAATTTACTCAAGAAATTGCATTACACACTCACCTACTGAAAAAATGAGATTATCATTCAACAATCATAGGCAAAAATAAATTGATATTGAAAAATTAAAAGTTAAAATTGTAATTCTGTAAGGCCTAAGATATAATTAAGTGAATTAAAATGAAAGAATATCAATTTAATTAAATTAAAAAATTTTGTTTTCATACGAACTCTTAATAGTATAATTTTTTATATATTTAAAACATATAAATGATTTCAAAGGTTTAAATGAGTTTTTTTTCTTCAAAATAATAATCATAATTCATAATTTTTTTAAAGAAACTTTTAAAGATCATGGTTGTTTGAGATATACAAATTGAATATTTAATCAATACATTTTGAAATATCTGTTTGTACGTGCCTGTATACGTATTCTAATAGTTAAATATTTCTGTAAAATAAATAAAATAGCTAATTAGTTATTTGAAGAATATTCTCGAATCTCCTTTATACATGGCCTAAATTTGCTTATTTTAAATGTAATTTTAAAAAAAGAGAAAAACCTGAAAAAATTGATAGGTAATTTAAAATAATATGACCAATATGAGGCTACATGACTTTATTGACAGTATATTAAATACAATAAATCACTTATGGGCGCATCGCTGTTACAATAATCATTTCAAAATGTATTTATGTACTGTACTAGTACGTGATCGTTCCTGGTATCGGCAAAGATTTTTTACGCATTGTATTTTAATCTAAACAATACCATAAATTAAATATAAAATTCAGAATCAATTCACGTTCAACATCGACAAGTCATTTAAGTAAAATAGAACGAAACTTAAATATCTTAAAAGACACATTGCATCATGAATTGAATAAAGGCATTGCCACATATTAATTAAGAAATAATTAATTTTATAAGGAAGATAAACATTCCATAATACTTCTCTTACCGATAAACCAGTTAATCTACGAAACAGTTCCCCGTCATAAATACTAATTTATCACATTGGTGTGAAAGTAATAAATTAAATTTATTTAGCAATGTAAGAAACGACCGTGATAATAGAAAATAATGATAAAAATAATTGTAAATATTATTACGTCTAATATCAGTTATAAAATAATTGTTAATAATTCATAGTTGTCAACAAGTCTTCGTATTATATAGGAATTATGTGTGTGACAGTCGAGTTTGTGTCGACACGTCGGATCACAGCTGCGGATGAAAGGCGATGTGGTACGAGAAGTTTTGTTTTTTTATACTATACAGATTTCAAAATAGCATTATTAATTGTCCATTCATCTAATATTTTTAAAAATATTTGGAATGAACCTTATTCGTTTCAGAATTTTATTCGATACACTTGAAAATATTATATCTGAGTATTATAAGTATTAGCTTGCTTAAAAGGCAGTAACTGTAAATGTGATTAATTTCATCGCCATGTAGAAAAAATACTGGTCGTGTAATATTGTCAGTCTATTAATAATATTCCCAACATTACTGTGGGATGAATGTATTTCCATGTACAAATGTCATCTTACAATTAAATGCATTAAAAATGTCATCAGCAGATATATAATCTTTCCACTTTTATTTCATTAAAAATCGTGTTAAAAAGTCTCTTCCGCAGACGCGATCCAACAAAAATTGCATTTATAAAAATGCAATTTACTTTATATATTCCTAAAAGTGCCTTTATAATTTTAATAACTTTTTTATTTACGCGCTTAAGTGGCGATTTGATAAACACTAACGAATTAAATTCTCATAAACTTAAAACTAGCTTATAATTAGTCGAGCACGTACGACTTGTGAACAGCAAAGAGTTGGCGATATTTGTCAATGAAATTTTCATTATTGTTGCATCACAAATTTTATGCTCATACCTTACAATATGCACGCACATACCCACACACTCGCGTGTACATATCCATATCCATATATATATATATATATATATATATATATATATATTTATATTTATATTTATATTTATATGCATACGAGCGTGTAGAAAAGTATGTATCTATATAAACGTATTAGATTTTCTTATTTATTCTTTTCTTAAGCTAAGCCTGGTTTAATGTTCATTACTTAGCATCTCCTTGCCATCGCAATATTCTTTGCTTCTACACATATATATACGCATACATCTATATACTATATATCATGTTATATATAAATATACACGTATATACACGTTTTCAATCATACCTAGTTACTTCCCTCGCAATATATTACAATTTGATTCACATTTATACACATACATATTAATAATTATTATGTCTTTCGGAGCGCATACTTTTGCTATTAAGCATACGAGAATAATCTGTACACACAGATTTACGTTAATATGTTTCAAATTTAAGAAGTAATATATCTTCTAAATTCTTAACAATTTTATTCTGCATTAAAGTGATTATAAAATCATCTATATCAAACTATAACCTCGTGTTTACATCATAATTATTCACAAAAAAGACACTGTTGATCGAAAACATATTTCCTCTTACGAAAAAAAAAAAGAAAAAAAATACAAACTCGTGGTCAATGCCAATATAGTACTTCTTTTCTTTGTTATTATACTATATAAATATTATTTAAAAATGATATTAGAATTGACTTAAACTTAAAATCAATGTGATGTTCTATGGCATTCTACGACACAATTGTCGGTAAATCTCAAGACTTACTATTTGAATTATTTATGTGTAACCTTAAAAATGCCAATTTAGAAAACTATTATCAAATCAGTGACCAATAACAAAGGCGCATACACCAATTTGCTAATAAATTTCAAAAATCCTTAAAGAAGGGTAAAAAAAAATCCATATATAATATAAGATCTACGAATTTTTCAATGGTTTCGAAGACAGAGGTTCTTCCCGGCTCATTCCTACCGATGCGTAGTAACGATCACTTCTCCAACTCAATAAAATTCATGTCTCGTGAGAACGAAGTCGATTAATTGATAAACACTTAATCTACCCTTGCATAGGCTGGAACAATTGCTTTGTCGATCCATAGTTTGCAGTTCTCGTAGCCAGCCCTCGGCAGAATGTCCTGGTCGACTATGAGGATCCTTTTACCACTATCGGCCTCCTTCACCTCGCCATGCCAAACAAAGTGATTGAATAGCTGCTGCATCGCTTGCAAGTGCCTCTTTTGCTCAGGCGTCTTCGCTGGGAAAAAGCCGAGGATGGCGGCCGCGTCACTGTCTACGTCGGCAATGACGTCCCGTGGGAAGGTCGATATGTAGAATGGGATATCGCTCTTCATTGTCGCAACGGTCATTAGGGGACAGACTACGCGAACATCCGAGATAATTGTGTGCAATCCTTTGACCGTCGAATTGTATTGGCTGCAACGTACACAAATAATACCACATAAAATTATTATTTTCGGCCTTTTGCTTTTGGGGGCTGCTGTGCTGTATCAAATAATACTTATTTTCCCAGGCTTTTTTATTTTTATTTCAGTTTTTCAATTGATTAAAAAATCTTATTGATTTGAAAGACAGTGAAAGGCGTAACTTCGTGAAGTATATAAAACTTTTTTACCTAAATACTGATTTAACTTGTACTATAAATTGCTTATAAATTCTTGATAGAAGCACGAATACTTTAAGCCTCTAACTTTGTTATTTACCCATTTCTTCTCCCTTCTTGCCACACAAATATAATTTGTAACTACATTTTAAATTCAATTTTTCAATCTCAAATAGACTTTGAGATATTTATTTGCGTGTGTGCGCCCACTAACTCACGTTTACGCCATACAGCAATCGGATAGACGCAAAACTGCTTTCAAAAAGTCTTTTCAAAGTTTCAAAATATTACAAACGATAAGATTTCTTTTACTTGAAAAACATTATTATTGTTATTATTATTATTATTATTATTATTATTATTATGATTTTCATTAACTCAGTAATTGCCGACAATTCGTTAATTAAGAAAAATATGTTTTAATGCTTCAAGATAAAAATTTAAGTAATCTATTGTATTCTCGGTATTTTACGTGTAAATATTGCAAAACGGATACTAGAAGCTATATTGAAAATTCCTAAATACCGCAATAAAAACATAAATAAACGCGCGAGAAAGATGCTTGAAACGAAGATACTTACGCAAAAACCTGATCGGCTTGTACAATGCTTTCAAGTAACGATTCTGAGTAAATGTTCCGTATCTCCTGAGGATCGACTGTACGATCATAGGATAATGATTTGACCAGCTGCCCAGACTGTGCAGTCGTGCCCATCACCACCTTAACGGGCAATTCCTTCTGTGAGAAAATCTCGCCAATGTGCTGTTGAATAATAATATCGTCTTTGACCAGCCACTCGTGCTTCGTACTATTAACCGTCTTGAGATCCGGTAATCCGGCGTTGGTCGAGTGCCACGAAGACGGTACCAGCTCCATCACGTCTTCGGCATTCTTTTTTTTCATGCAGGAAGCATCTTTGCACCTACTGTACAAAACGAGTGTTAAATTCTGTGTATGATGTGTATGAAAGATCCGAAAATATACTCGAGGATACTCATACAAAATCATTATAAATAAAAAAAAAAAGAAAAAGAAAAAGTACCCGTCGTAACGTAAACGTAATTTCCAATGGAAAAATTTAAAAGAATCCATGATCCGATAAATTTCATCTTTTCCATATAAGACGTTTAACAGTTCGTTAAACATACTTATGAGAGCTAATTTTGAAAATCGATAGTCGAAATACTTATAATATGTGTCGATGAAAAAAAATGAATGACATATTAAAAAATATATAGGATAAAATAAAGAAACCACCACCTCCTTCGAAGTGAAATTTCATAAATATACATGCGTGCTTTCGCATTTCTTTCCAAGTTTCCCAACTCTTTTTACGACTTTAAAATATCTTTCTCATTGTCAATCAGCCTTCGTTAAACGCATCGGAGTTACGCATTAACTAATGATGAATTAAGGTTGATAAACGGATACAAATCGAGCAAGCCAATAGTTAACCATTAGTCAAATGGTAATTAACCGCTACTGTGAGTACGGCTATATCACGATGGTAACTTACATATAGTCGAGGAAAGCCTCGTTCTGCTTCTCAGAGTCGCGGAGATCGCGAGCCGGGAAAATAGCGCTGCCACTTGAGATCCAGGCGCGTGCGAACAAATCCTTAGCACGACGGGCGCCAACGAGAGCAGTTACCAAAGTGCCGCCGGCCCGGTGGCCCCAGAGGGTCACCTGCTTCTTGTCACCGCCAAAGTGCTCGATATTGAGCTGAACCCACTGTAGGACGGTGATGATGTCCGAAAGCCCGTAATTGCCGGAGCTCATTGGATGGGCCGCACGGGACAATGGCTCCACTGCTAGGAAGCCAAAAACGCCCAATCTGGAATGTCAAGTCGAACGCAATTAATCGCGAGCATAATAGGGAGGCAAGTTAATATGCAATTCAAGTTGTTAGGGTTTTAAATGCATCTTTGGCCGATTATTGGCAGATTATTGGCCGGTTATTGATCGATTATTGTGTTGAAAAATTTGAGAGAAATGTCATCGGCTGAAATGATTCGAGCAAGGATTTCCAATTGCCCGACACTTATCTAGTGATTCGACGTATTAAATTCGAGGCATACCTGAAGTTAGGTCTGACGTAAACCATCTCGCGTACTCTCGCGAGCTTTCCCGATGGGATCATGATGCCTGGCGAGGGTCCACTGAGTGTATCGGCGCCGATCATGACGACCACGGGTAGTGGCCGGTCGTAAAGCACCTGTGGCGTGTACACGTCCAGGTAAAGGCAGTCCTCGACGCCGTTGATGCCGTTGGATGCGTTGTGCTGCCAGCACATCTCGGAACTGTTGTGGGCCAGGTAGGTGCCGTTCCAGCAGTGCTCGATCTTGCGTAGCGGCTCCGACGGCTGCCAACGTCGGTTATTTACCGGCGGCACCGCGTACGGTATGCCGCGGAACACGAAGGCGTCGTCTTCAAGGAGGCCCTGTACGAGGCCGCACGACGTCTGGGTCTCGACTTTGCCATCCTTTATCGGCTGAGCGACGATGCGACGGGGACCGACGCACGCCACGCAGATTATTATGACGACGAGCAGCAGAATAAGAAGCGTTACGGCTGCAAATGTCAAAGCGTCAGTCTTTAAATGATTGAGCGATGGAAGAAGCTTTATCTAACATTAACTTCCCAAGAGTGATTTATGCCTATTATTATGTTGGCGATTGAATCGCGTAGGAATTAAACGAAAATTAAGGAATAACTGGTTCTTATGTGACCGAGTCTTGATAATGTGTATTATTTGTCATTGTTTGTTCTCTTTATAAAACTATTATTTACAATCGTTGTATAAATTTTACGTGAGCGCACGCGTGCGAGAATATATGCACACAACATATATATATATATATATATATATATACGTAAATAGTAAGTACTATAAACGATCTTCCTTTCATTAACATTTCGTCTCTTTTTATCCGAACAGGTTAGGCTCAATAAGAAATATATCTTGACAAAATTATATCCTTTGTTTGAAATGATTCACAAAACATTATAAGATTCGTGAAAGGGCGAGTCACGGAAGTTATATGATAATGTAGCCGCTTGCTATGGACTTTAAAATGATATCGTCTCTGGACGCCCCGGTAATCATCATTCCCGGGTAATTTCGTACGCGAAGTAAAAATAACAATTGTAAAATTGTAAAATAACAATTATTGCTGATATAATGGAAGCACAGAGGGAAAGTCGATGTTTGAATTGAAATGTCAAAAGCAATTACCCGTAATTACAGATGTTTTCTAGATTGCACAAATGTGCAGATTGCGTACCCGTATCGATCGGTCCTTTCAAAGATACGAATAATTTCAAATCAAGAAAAATGATCCCGACACACACTTAGTACGGTATTGAATAGAGACGGGTGGGGGAAAAGAGGGCAGATAATAAATCAGAAGTACTCCAAGTAGAAGAGGCTTACCGCTGACGACGACGTTCCTCCTGGCGGCGGTGAGACATACGATCAACGGATGAGGCTTGGTGAGCACCCCGTCCGCGGCCTCGACATCTAGACGTACAGTTTCCATGCCGTCATCGCCTCCGGCACCGGCATTATTGTTCACCTGCGTGCCGTCGTCCAGCGTTTCGACGCTTGCAAGACCCGCGGTGCCGGTCGTTCCCAAATCAGTATCAGACTCCTGCACATTATCAACAGAATCCACCTGTTAATACTTACACGTATTTCTCTCTATTTCTCTCTTTCCGTTAAAACAATCATTCGTACGCAAACATTGGGTACAAATGGTGGGATTGTAAAGGGATTGGGGGCCCTTTACTTTTGAAATAATCGTACAAGGCAGATTCGATTTAAAAAATCTTAAATGTAGATTTATATACTTTTAAAAAACGATATAGATGTCAATGGGATGCACCTTAATTAATAAATTCACGTATAGGAACAAAATCGAATATTAAAATATCGACTTCGCTTGTATGACATGATGATAAAGCTTTAAATATTATAAAGACAATAAGGAGTACAGCGCGCGGTAGTGAAAAATATTGAACCTCGAAGATTAAATCTCAGCCGATGAAGTTACCGATATAAACTCGTCAACTCATCCTTTTTCTATTTTTATCATATTACTAGGGACTTATTGACTTTATTAAATTGAATATGAAAGGGGCTTTAAATGAAAATGTTATTTAAAGCCGCAGACACATTTTATTCTATTTGACTTGTACAGCATTTGATTGAAGGAACCTTTTATAGACATCGACATTTTATTGAAATTAATGGACATTAAAGAAACAGATCGATAACAAATATTTCATTATTAAAAACTCCGAAATTTCCTGCTTCGATAAAAAAGGAAATTGTCATATTACAATGCACACTGTGTACAATAAAAATCACTATTACCAGAACAAACTTCGTAAAGTTAAAAATCAAAACTACACAGGTTTTGAAATATTGTAATAACCTATGTAATGCTCGTATTAACGTTATAATTGCAATTACGTCAAAACAATGTCGCACTATTTTAACAACCTTTTCTTCCCAAAGCGGAAACTCTCTTCTAACGTCTATAACCGAAGCTCGACAAATGCAAAACTTATCGAATAAAAGCTTTAAAGTGCAGAAGCATCCCCGTATGCAAAAAGGTACTCGGCGAGGAATAGCGAAATAAACGACCTGGTCGTTTGAACGACGTCTAGGGACTGGCGCGACGATCGGAGCGGCGTCGCCGGTTTACACAGCTGTGAAATCCACACCTGTGCAGAAAAGCACCAACCCCGTACCGCCCCGCCACCCCCAGCCCAATCCCACCACCGAGGGAGGCACGAAAATTACACAAGGGCTCGATGTGTGTGCCGTATCGCACGCAAACTAACGACAAAGAGAAACTACGGATAAGCTAGTGAACGCGTGAGATCGGGGAATGTGGAGGGGGAGGGAAGGCGACGAAGAAAAAATAAAGGAGGCGGAGGATATATACGTGCCCGAGAGGTCATCGTATATGGCTTCGAACGCGGGAGGGCGGGAGCTACTGTTTCTCCTCTTTTTCATTTTACTTTCCCGTCTAACCACCTACCCGCCTCCTAATGCTGTCTACTTTATTACGACGGAGTTTCGTGTCGAGGCCCACTTTGATTATCCTTTTTGTATCAGGATAGTCAGGCGAAGGAGGCGCTCGTTTGATAAAGCACGCGTTGAATGGCGCTCTTGTGTTTCTGTACTGTGAAATTTCGCTCCCCGTTCAGCTTATAGAAACGTGGCTCAAATACAGTTTTTCTACCTACAATAATACTTCTTTGTGCTGGACAAAATTATTAAAGAAATAGAGAGAGAGAGAGAGAGAGAGAGACCGAATGAATACATAAGTTTGATATTTGCTATTATTCTAATTGTGGCGTGTTTCTCATTTTTGTTATTAGAATTTATGAAATCAATGCCGCGCATAAATTTATAAGTCTTGATAAATTCGGCAATTATTTCCTTTTTTTTTCTTTTTTTTTTTTTTGCTAGTAATCCCAATTATTTTTACTTAGCTTAATAAGCAAACATTTTTACAAGCTACTCCCGTCTAAATCAAGTTATATTTATATTCAAATCATAAATTCCTTTGATTATAGCAGTTACACATAACTGTCTTCCCAAACATAATTACAAAACTAATAAAATCTTTTATGGGCAATATTTAGATTTATATGCACTTGCGCTTAAGGACTTTTATTTTCCGTTAGCTACTCTATACTTTTATCAGGCACTTTTTCGTTTGATGTCAAGTACGATGTGTAGTGAAATTATCTTTATTTCCTACTAAAATTAGTCGGACTATTTAGACGCATTTTACAGTTATTTACAGATAAACACACATTATTTAAAGTACAAAGTATGTAAACCATATAATTATTACAAACTCGTGTAAATATTGACAGTACCACTCGGCATTTTCCTTTCATAGTCAAACATAAATTTATAGTTAATATTAATGTCATTATTAATAATAAATGTGTCGAGTGAAACTGCGATTGAATTAAATGAATCTTTAAAAGTCTAAGCTTTCACTCTAAGCAAAATCCTTCCAACGCAACGTAGTCCATACCTCTTTATCAAACAAAAATTAAAGTTTCATGGAAAATTCTAAAAGATAAATTGATAAAAAAAAAACTCTAAAATTTAGCAGGCTTTATTATTTAAATAACGATATAAATTATAATAATTAAGGAATCGCCCTTCTAACAGTCATATGGAACCGATTCCTCCTGAAATTATGCCTTAAGGAGCGTACGGTTGCCTCGAGAAGAAAATAGAACTATTACCTTCTTCTTCCTTGAGAAAACGGAGGACAATGGTAGGCGGATGGCTTCAAGGATCCCCTTGCGCCCTTCCTTTTCCTTGGTCTCCTTGACGGGGGTGCCGCCGCCGCCGCCTGCCTTATCAGTGGGTGCCATCTCGCCATCCTTGGTTGGAGCCTCGCCGTCGCCAGCTTCCGCGGGCTTCGTATCCTCTTCCTGAAACCACAATTTAGAGGACGAGCGTTAAAATTCTTTACGCAAGCTTGAACTCGGGGTGAGTCGAGGGAACGAAGAGAACCAGTCAAATTTATTTCTTCCGTTATTTCTCGGCTTTTTGATTAAATTTCTTCGATTTTCCTTTGCTTTCTCTATTATCGAGAAAGCGGGAGAGAGAGAGAGAGAGAGAGAGAGAAATAACGTTTATATTTAAAATACAAATAAATTGTACGCCTAATAAACTCTCTGATTTAATTTATGAAAATTTAAACACTCAACTATATATGGTTACTTTTAAATTTTCCCTAAACATTTATGTATATACGTGTAATAAATTAATTTTTTTAACAAGCCTTATTATTATATAACTTGTGCACCTATAGAGCGCAAAATATAATTGATACTAAATACTAATATTTACTTCGTTTCCGCATCCACTATTTCTTCCATATCTTTCTAGTTTATTTAAGTGTATTCAAGGCAAAATCTTATAAATTCTTCGATTTTTTAAATTATTACTCATGACAAACAAGATTGTTTAACTATAAATTTAGAATAACATAGTATTAATGTATTTGGTAATTAAAAATACATCTAATATTGTAAAAAATGAAAGAATAATAAATATCTTGAATAAACTTATAATCCATTCTAAAGTATTTTTACATGTTAAATCAATATGATTTTCAAATACACTTGTGGTGTAAAGTTTTTGAATTAAATTTGATAATTGAGGTTAAATGGCTATCTTTAGCCACGATATTCTACACCATCGTTATTAATTTCGTATTAATTCTGCCTATTTTCCATAAAATAACGAGTGTTTATAATTTTTCATTAATATTATTCTGAAATGTAACAAATTTTGCGTGCGAAACTTTGTGTGAAAATTTACCGTTGAATATCTATCTAAATGAAATGATCAAAATACTCGTACGATTGGTAATGGCAATTTATCAAATTTGATAATTATTAGATTGAAATGAATGTATTGATGCTTTTAAAAATTAAAGATTAAGATAGACAAAAATTCGACGAACTATTATTATTAATTAAAATTAATACTAATTACACGAGGCTATTAATAATATTTCATAACTAAGTAAAGAGCACAAATGGGAAATTTTATAGCTTCGTATACTAATGCATTAGTAATTCGAATAAATATTCACGTGAAAAAAAAAATTTAACTAGCACATGCACGTTTACTAATGTAATGGTGCCTCGTGCGCTTAAATGTACTTAACCGCATGTACTTTTGATTTGCTGCTACTCCAAGAGAAAGTCAAATCAATATAAGTAAAATTAAATTTTAATGGAGATTAATAATAGATGATAAGTGAAATAGGCTAATACAGTTGAATTTTTGTTAAAAGAAAATTATAAATAAAGTTGAACATACTATTCTGCCAATATTAATCTATTTATTTTCAATATTCATTTGGAACATTTATGATGAAATAAATTTAAAAAATAATTATATATTTAATTATCATCAGCCGAATAGCTAATAATTATTTACTCTAAAGCAATGCTGATACTATGCCAAGTCTCACTTAGCTACTATAACTATCAAATTATATATAAAAATTTTTTACAATATTAATTCCGTTGTAAAATTATTTACTACACGAAGAAGCGCGTAGCATAACAAAACCAATAAATAAATAAATAAAAGAACATGTTCGTATTATGGGCTTAGGGAAGGATAAAGAATCGAGGAGAAAAGATTATAAGAATATCGTTCTTTTACGACGCATAATTTTTTCCAAGCAACTGAATTGTTTTCTATGCCTTAAAAGAATCCTCCTCACCTTCGCACCTAACATACCACCTCTAAGCAACAGGTTTGAAAAGGCCGGGGGGATTCTCTCTCATAATGGCAAAAAAGCACCGGCTTTTTAAATATCAATGGCAAATTTATGAAATAACACAGGGACGTTACCGCGAATAGCTTCACTATTTCACTGGTAAGATTTAAATCTCCCGAGAAGTCGGCGAACTCGGCGTGCGCACAGACCGTGGACGCTCAAAGCTAAGATGCACGCACGCCGTGGTTACACGACGGCTCCAATGAAAATACGACCGAGACGTTGCAGCACGTCCGAAGAGTCTGGCGTCGCGAGTTTGCCAGCGAGTTCACGTCTGCCTATATGGGTACATTATCCCTGACCGTCGAGACTTTTCAAGTGCAGGCGTCGTGCATGTAGCGTGCGTTATTTTCGGAATCGAGGGCCGAAAAAATCGTCGGATCATCTCGAGCGGCCGACGCCTCTTTGGCAAAAATTCAACAAGTCTCAGGGCGCGTCGCCCCCTCCCCCACCCACATACATACACCACCGTCGGACAATCGCGCCTGTCATAATTTTGCGATTGCTCGTACGTGGAGTGCGATCCTTTGTTTGTCCGTCGGCTTTGAATTTGAATTTCCACTATGTCGGGCTCGCGCGAGATCGCTCCCACGCGTTCGATTTACGAACGTTGGCACGCTCGCGCCGTCTTCGTCGAGATAAGGGACGACGCGATGGTGGTAACGTCGCTTTGTCTCGCCCTTCTTGCGCAAAACCCTTTCTCCATTCTTTTACTTATTACTCGGCGGCCCACGTGGAGCGATGATACTGACCTTTCCTCGTTTCACGAACATCCGCTTGGTAGGAAGTCGAAGGATGTCGTAGTCGTTGTCGTTGTCGTTGTCGTTCTCGTTTTTGTCATCGTCGTCATCGTCATCATCGTCGTTGCTGTCGTTTTTTACGCTCGAGTTAGCTCGGTGTCGGTCAGTGGCGAGTATGTACGTACGTACAGAGACTGACCGACATTCACGAGACGATTTTTTTTTTGCAAATTGCTTCCTTTAGCGTACCCCTCCCCCCTCCCCTCCCCCCACCTCTCCCTTCGCCGCGCCCTTTTATATAATTGAATTATCGCTCTTGGTAATCCTGAATAAGAGACGCGCACGAGTTACTCGAAAGGATTTAGCGCAGCGGGCAACACTTACACGGACTAAAAATCTTGTCAATCGCTATACTACAAAAGCCTTAGAGATTATAGTACGTGCACCTACTCGATAACGCGTTTTATTTTATTTCATTTTTATATTTTAATATTTTTTGTATTTTATATTTTTTCTTTTTTCTTTTTTTTTTCCTTTCTTTTCTTTTCCTTTTTTTTTCTTTCTTTGTTTCTTTTTCTCTCTTTTTATTTCAGTCTCTCGCGCCTCGTCGAATGAATGGATACTCTGTAAATACGAGAAACCGCGCTGTCGACCTTTTCTCTCTCGCTCGATGCGCACGCCCGGATTTACGAAGCGAGAAAAAACGATGAGAGAAGAGGAAGAAAGGGGGGAGATCGAGAAGGGAGGCCGAGGAGAAAAATAAAATGAAGAATGGAGGAAGCCAAAGTGATTATCGAGGAGTTCTTGGAAGGAAGAGGAGCTCGATGACTGTTGGATTCCTCGTGGCGGCCTTCGCGGCGACTCAAGTGGAAAGATACGCGCTCCTCGCTTCCTCCACTCGGTGAGGAGGTCGAAACCGCGAGGGAGAAGAGCACGTGCTATATGCGTACTACGAAGGATGCAGGCCGCGCATATGTGCGGTGCCTGACCCCACCGCCCCCGCCGGTGAAAGGTTTAAGCAGGAGGTGGAGGAGCCGAAGTAACGGGCGCACGTGGCTCCTAGGCGCGAGCAGCGCCTCGTTCTATATTTGGATTCAGGCTGACGAACCCTCGACGTCGATGCCACTGACGCCGCCGTTGAATTCGCCGCTGTTCTCGCGACGCTCACGTGTCGCTGGTTGGCTTCCCTATTGCGAGAGCGCATGTTTATTATCCTTGATAGACAGAGGACTGTGACAGGAGATAAAAAACCAAAAGGAGAGATCGTTTGCACGAGCGATTATCTCGACCATGCAAGCAACGTACAATGTACAATAGCGCTAGGCCCAGCGGAATTAAAGCCGAGGATTTGCTGCTCGGGCTCGGCGATTACCCAGAAATTATTTCATCCTTTTTTCTCCGCCTCCTCGCCTTCGAGCTCAAAGAGGCTGCGGGATTATCGAACGCGAGCCAAGTGTTTAGCGGGCTTGGGAAGCCAACACCGCTCCCGCCGGTTCAAGGCTACGAGGTGAGGAGCCGACACCTACGCATTAGATAAGGACATCCGACTGCGAACCGATACTTTGCGCGAATAATAAGGGTTCGATGGGAGGGATGAACGCACATGCTCGTCATGAAGCGTACGATCGATAATTATACGACACTATCTATCACATTCGAATACATATTATTTATAGGCTCCCTAAAAGGAGTGTCATTATTCTAACGAGTTGTTTTGAAAATTGAATTATCTATTTTAATCCTTGATTGTTTCTTCTTTTTTTTTTTTTTTTTTTTTTTTTTTTTTTTAACGTGCATTCATTAAAATTACTAGGCATATTATTAATATATTTGTCAGTGATATCATTAGATAGATGAATGGATAAAGGCATTTTTACAATGAATTAAGAGTACGAGCTTATTTTCCTTAATTAATCCTATACTAAGTATAGCAAAACGAGAAATAAAACCTAATTTATAAATTGTACATTAACCTGCATTCGTAAAAAGGCACATGTGAACTAACGTTTCTGTAATTAAATGGTAAGAAAATAATATTTTTCAGGACGACTCGTACATTAAGAATAATATAAAGTTCTATAAACTAGGCGAACCATTAAGTTTACTTGTGTTGAAAATAAAATCCGAAATTATTTTAATACTTACATTTTCAAGCAGTCGTTCGTTACTTTAAAAGCTATTCACTTGTAACTCATTTATATATTAATGGAGATAACATTCGACGAATGTGAGAACACAACACACCCGAACGTTGTCGAGCATTTTTATCGTAACCATCAAATTTTACGATTGGCTACGTAGAAAAGTATTTAGGCATCGCTTGAATATATCAGATCATAACCGGGATAACGTTATCCTCAAGTCTGCGAAAACCAGTGCAACGTTATGG